CTCCTCAGCTAAGGCTTCCCACTTTCCCATACCTCCTACTGTTTGGGATCTTAGTACGTCTTAATGCAAATGTTTCAGGTCAGCGGGGGTAGTGTTGTGGGGTGTTCACCAGGGAAGACTGCTCGGACATGGGTTTAAGTCAATAGAAAGTCTTTACTAGCTGGCCAGAGACTACACTGGGTGTTCGGAATTCCAGTGTAACCCCGAGCCTTTCTCAGGGTGACTTTTAAGCACAAAAAAAAAAAACATGTCCTGGGTTGACATCCTTCAGTTAACAAGAACAGTTAGCCAGAAGCAGAACTACAGAACTACTAAAAGCAAGATTAGAACATTTAGAGACTTTCCCAGAACTACGGACTTGGATGGATTAGGTCTTAGTTTTTATTTTGGCAGGTGGTGCTGTTTATGTTTTGAGTTTTATGGCCTGAATGGTACTTCCATCATGGAGTCAGTTGGTTTGGTAGCCTACTAAGATCTAGGGTCCTGTTACATTGTGTGTGTGTGTGTGTGTGGGGATGTCTGTCTTCAGTATTTTGCCATCATATGAGTTATTGGTTATTTAGGAAAAAAGAAAGCAAATTAATTGTATCGATTTGGTTATTTGGTTAACCAATTGACTTGGTTAACAAAAATTGGAGAAAATCTGACATGATAAAAAGGCCAAGTCAAACATTTGTCAGATGGCAGAGAGATTATGGTAAATTTAAAATCCAGCTGTTGTGTTATTTTCCTGTTTCAGTGACAGAATGTTCACCAGAAAAACAGCCAGAAGGTGGAACCATTTATTTGGCTCACTATTTCAGAGGGTTCTGTCCGCCTGGGCTCGGCTGGACTTGTTTGGGCGGAGAGTCCAAGGGGCAGAAGTGAGGCTGGAGGAGGAAGAGGGAGAGAGGAAGCGGGTTGGGGATCAGGTCTGACCTTCAAATCCTTGTCCTCGGCTGGCTATCTACTTCCTCCTGATAAGCCCTCTCTTTTGGTTCCCACCACCTCTCCATAAAGCGCCACGGGGGT